ATATACAAAGGCGGACCTGAGGCACTAAACCCTTTCCTCGTCACTATTGGAAAATCTGAACTGCCGGCTCCTGAAAAAACTAGGTTGTTCAGAAGAAAGAGGAAATCAAATTTTCAGCACAACTACTGCAAACTAGGTTGTGCTCTGTGGTTCGCGACTTCTTGTCAAAGGGCACAACCTCCAAACTGCATGGAAATTCTTTCAAACGTCGAGGAGCCTCATCCCGTCTGAATGTTCGTTCCCATTCGTTTTCGCAGAAGTTTTTCTGTGTCCAGAATGGGCTTCCCAAACACGTAGTCTTAGCCAGCGCAACACATGCATTAAAACATAAATTGGATGTATATTTACTTGAAACCCACCACTGAACTGAAAAGGAAGGCATTAATTCACAGAAAAACGCTTTGTTCATGCATACAGATGACACTGAGGTCTATTACTCACATTATTCTCTATTCTTGAAGGTGCCCGGGCTTCAGTCTCACTGGTGCAATAAGATTTTCAAAGTTACTCTATTGCTTTGAACCTTAAATATTATGTTTATTTTGATTTGAGTATTGGTGCAATGTTCTAATTAGGGTCACATAATGCAATGTTTATTAACTTTTGATAGAAAAGCTTCTTAGAGAAACGTGAATGAACTTTATTATAATTTTCGACGCTGGCTGACCAGGTCTTTTCTGTCAAATTATATTTTTGGGATGCCTATTTTCAAATTCATACGAATATTTACTAGCCTTAAAGGTGTTGTACTATTACGAAGTAAACCGTGCAACGGTTGAAATGTGGGTCAAATTCGAACGCATGGGAAAATCATTCAGTAGAACTAATGCCATGATTAGTACCGACATCAATGTCTCAGGAATAAACACGAACCTTGTTCAAACTTTGGGTACAAAATCGAGTTTGGACTATCGTTTTTAACACAAGCAATTAAATATTCCTTTCATCATCCCCGGAAGAGGAAGAAGAAGAGACGATTTCCGGGACAAAGGTGTATTTTGGCTGACGTTTCAAAAGCGTGTTCGCTTCCATCGTCAGAGCGTGGTGTCTGTATTCCTGTTCGCGTCAGATGAATGTGTCAGTCGATTGCACCGATCGATTTCAGTGGCTGTTTGATTTGCTCGTGCCCTCACGGGCGTCTTCATGAACTGTGTCAAGTTGCTTTTGTGTCTTATGAGCGTTTCCACCCTCTTTGCTCGCGGCTGCCGGCTGTCGGCCCTGCTTATCTCTCTCCGCCCGACCTTTTGCTCCGTTCTGAGCCGATGTTATCCTTCCGCGGTGCGCTCGGTAGGCGGGATGAAGGTCCATAGCTCTGTTCAGTGTACCAGTCGAGGACTAGCATTCTAGAATATTTTATCTGGACCTCGAATTTTTTGCACACAAGCAATTGAAGTGTTTCGAACCAGAACACACAAAGGGGCAAAGGCCTAACTGATTCGACCTGGTTTTTACGAAGACATCAGACAGCATCGACGAGGTCATACCCATGTCGCCACTCGGTCGAATTGACCATGGAATATTTATACAGGACTATTCATCATTCGTTATTCTCTGATCACAACTGATGAAGAAATCGAAATACTTGACGAGCTAATTTTGACCAATTGCGAAAAGCCTTAATGGACCTTAGCTGGACTTCAATGTATAAGTAATATAAACGAAGACTGGGAAATCTTAAGAGATGGCCTGCTACGGCTCATCCACAACCACTTCCTACTGTGAAGTATCCACAAGAACAAAATGCATAAATTGTGAAGAAATAGTGTTAAAATAAGGAAGTCCAAAGTTTCAACAAATGCAAAACTCAGATGAGCAAACTGAGGAACATAATGCTCAAAACCCGCCCGCACTTCGAGAAGAATTTTCTGTAAAAACTAACAGGGAATTTTAAATGACCATACGCGTGTCTCCACAGATGTAAAAGAAGCAGACAGGAAATTCCGATGATGTTGAATTAAACGGACGTTGAACTCAATAAAAATAAAAGCCAAGTGCTTTCTTTCGACCAGTGCATCCCTCCACAGAAGAATTGCCGACGCAAAGCATAAGTAATAGCATGTTTTCAAAAATCCATATCCGAAGGGAATTTGACAAACTAAGACACTCGAAATCTCAAGAACCGAACCATGTTCCACCAAAAATTCTCAGCAAAATTGCCGGTGAACTTTATATAGGGGCGACAATGTTCTTTCAAAATTTATTTGACTCCGGAAAACTCCAGACACTTTACACTGCTTGTACGCCGCCTGCCTATCCATGCTTTCACCAAACATCAATGTTTCAATCCTCTGTTATTTTCTTGCTCTAAGGAACCTGCATCAAAGTTTTTTCCTACTGATATCACCCTAGCCTAGAAAGCCGTCGCACATCTGATTAATGCTGGATTAGCGTTTTAGTCCGTGAAGTAAATACACCCTTACGTATTACACATGAAAATGGGAGATTGGCCCATTTGGTTATCTATCAGGCGTACCACATCAGAAAAAGTCACCAAACATTTTAGGAATGCGTACTAATAAAAGACCTTGAAAGACTTGATCAACTCCTGTTATTCGAACCATGCAAATTTAAACACCCGGTTAGGC